GATACGTCCCGCTTGCGCACTCGCACGTTTGTGTGCGTGTGTAACAAAACATTAATAAGTATGCACTTAGCGATTGAAGGGCGCACTAGGAGCCGGATTTCACTATCGCGTTCAACTCTTGAAGGCGAAGCCTAAGGGGCCTCTACCCACGTGGGCTATGTTAAAATACGAGAAATATAAGACAAATAGTCAGAAACACGAGAAAATATATTCAGAAATAAAGCAACGCATGGCAGTTATGATGATGATAATTCTTCACGTCTTCTTCAAGCATGGCGACAATAAATAGCTGGAGTAAAATCGCTCGCCGGGCAAGTCAATACGTGTTCAAAAGCTCTAGAAGTTTGTCTAGTTCATGCCTCAGCTGCGCCTCCCGGAACAGCACCTAAAAAACACATGTATATTCTCATCATAGAGTTGCGATCTATGCTCCACGTGTTTCAATGATATGTTGTTTTGCATGTTATTTTGTATCCGAATAGCACTTGCCTTTTTTTCGTGTTTTGTACCTTTTCGTTTCTACTGAGACTTCAAAAGATAACGACGAAAGAAAGACACTTGACTACCATGCCTGAGCTATGAACATTAGGTCCCCATATTTCTGGTCAAGTATATTAGAGTTATTTGTAGAGGGCAGTGAAGTTTTTCATGAGTCAACTCATTCAGATTCACTCAAACTCACTCCCGAGTCTGAGTTCCGAGTCTGAGGAAACTCTAGTGAGGAATAGTTCGGCATGGTGAAGTCTGAGAAAGTCAGGGAAAATATTTAGTGAGTTAGAGTCCGAACAAGTCTAAAAAAGAAAACTTAGCCTTAGTTCTAGCAACGTCTCCTTTGTTTTATGGATGCCAGCCAGATGCACCCAATCTAGCCGTTGACCACCCTCTTTTCTAGCCGTTTTCTTTTCTCGCTCATCAATTAACTTCACGAGATGAGCTGAAGGTCATAGATGGTCCGAAGTGCGAAATTACGGGTGGCGATTAGAACATGGGCGAAGATGAGCACACTTCGTATACGAAGAAGAGCACACCTCACATTGTTGTATAGATGAGCACACCTTACATTGTTGGCAACTGTGGCAGCTTCATACGGCGATGAAAGACAGATGGCTCGCCGCTCGTGGACGCTTTGAATATCTGGGTGACCATACGTTCTATTGACGTCAAATGAAACGCACACAACAGAGCGCGTGGATCAAGCATTATAAAAGATACAGTGCGCGCCATACAGTCAATACGACTGACAGGCACGCACGTCGGGTTGGGCAGCACTGCGCGATCCCGCTTTGATTATTTCTCTTGCGTTCCGCCTGTGAGATATGGTAACAATGATGGACAAAATGCGCGTGCATTACGCTTTGGTAGTTTCAGTTTTAATTTTTTTCACTTTATTTCGTCTATTTTTGGTTTCTTTTTTGAATATTAGAGCTAGAAAAGACGTGATCGCTTGATGATGCCAAAAGCATGCGCAAGCTCTCCAATGGTGCTGACAGGTGGGCTGCACTGTACTTTTGCTAAGGCTTATCCACGCACTCTACTGTTCTCGTTTCATGTGACGTCGATAGTACGTGAAACCCGTGCTGAATAAGTTTAACGTTTGATCATGTGGTAAAAACAATGCGTGCTGCACTATTCATGCTAAGAATTTACTCGCAAAATCTGCAAACGTAACCAAAAAAAAAACGATGGAAACGAGAGAATGGTCTCGCAAAGAAATTCAAAAGCTCTTTTTATCTCTAGACGTCTAATGTTGATCAACCCGCCGTGGTACCTCAGCATCTAAAGTGTTACAATGTTAAGCTCGAGTATGCATCCGTGAATTCCCACCCCGCATATCGACAAGGTATAGAAAAAAGGAAAAAACAAACAATACACCCGCACATGTTGAGTTTGATGCACGGTATGAAATCAAAGTGGGCCTTAATTAATGCGGAAGACCTCAGTACGGCACACCTCATGATTATGTCGTTGTTCCATCAAGTAGAACATTATAAGGGTGTGATAATTATAGAGCTTTGACGTAATAGAGGCTGTAATGGAGCACTGAGCAAATTTCGGCCCTTTGACGCTCGCTAATGTGTACCTAAATGTAAGCAAACTGGCCTCTAGCATTTTACATCTATCTTTTACATCTATAATTCGATCACGCCACCTTGTTGTCTCGACCACCATAACCACCAAAGACCACCGCGACGGATCTGCCGATCAAATCGAAAGCGGAAATCGGAGCTGTAGTATTTTAGGCAAGGCGCTAAAATAGACGGCTTCCCATGCCTGTCAGTTCAGGTCCTCTCCTAGTCTCTGTTTTTTTTTTTTGTACAATACCTGTATTTTTCAAATAATGAACAAACTAGCTCGGCAGCAGGCCCTGTTATATAAGCTGCTTCGCCATAAACCGCAATTAAAACACGTATTATACCAACCAGGGAACATCAGTACTTATATTGCCGCTTACGGCCGGAATCGTGAGTCAAAAAAATGTGAAGTCCGGGCCCCTCGGCTGCTCTAGTATCGGAGAAAGACACATTCGAATCCACCTCTCGTTTCTGTCAGCAAAGCCCACCTGTTGAGTGCACAGTGACGCGGTAACACGGGCAAGCCTATTGCCGCTCCAAAAACAAGGCTTTGGGATCATTCATCACTTTAGTCGTATACGCGTGACAAAACACTTTGCATTCGTATGAAAACCTGGATTACGAAAAGAAAAATACCTGCTTATATTCGGTCATTCTCAGCTCAATTCCTCAGTGAAAACCGCACCTACAATGTTCGAGAAGCTTTGGGACTCTAGCAGATTTTTTCTTTAAGATACGCCCACATCACGAACATTGCAGGTTTTTCTGGAACCTACGTAGTCGTTAGCGTTAACGCTAGAATATTCTACGGCACACGCTGTACCGCTGGTCAGTTGATTGACGGCTGACGCTTTGTTCGCCGCTATCAGTGCCACACTGCAAGTGTGTATCGCTGTCATCTTACTTTTCGTTCGGAGACCACAAGTTCACCCCTAATAAACAATGGCATCTTCGATCTTCAGTCTGCTCCCTTCGTCCACGTCGTGACTTATTTTATATAAAACCACGAAATTTAGGGCCATTCCTCCCCCCCAGGGGGATGTGTGCCACAGTTAATAGGCGAGAAATAATGACTGGCATTTGAATCCATGCCCCTAGCGTGGCAGGTCGAGTGTTTTCCCAGCAGAGCCACACTGTTTTTTTTTAGGTGTGTGTCTTTAGTACCGGTTCCCGAACCACGCCACTTCTTTGAACCCATGTGAAGAAAGGCCTGTACAGGCGCCGTGACAAGGGAATCGCGTTAATTTATGTATTACGGGTGGCACAAAAGTAAAATTACAAGTAGTCATTGAACGATGCTCATTGCGCAATGAGTTCATAACCTAATATTTCCCACACTGCGAAGTGCTGAACCATATATTTATCCTCACCAGCAACATGCACCATCAACGAAGCGCGTATAATGCCTCACAGATTTGTAGCGGGTACCTCGCTTTCCCGGAGAAAGATGAACAATGGCAAGGTGGGTGCTGCCCCACGTCACGAAAATCGGGATTTTTTGAGCAGTGAATACTATGCAGAAAGTCGGAAGACCAAACACACTTGGCTTTGCCCCAACACGAGCTATGAAGTAATAGGCAGTGATATTTTTAATACAAAGAAAAAATATGGACAGTCGTTATCGCCCTCCTAGTTAAGATACACGTAGTAGAGTGTAAGATGAGTATTTAAGACCACGTACATTTTTCACAAATACATTGTGTTTGTATTGTAATTATGCAATTTTGTGATGTGTGGCGAATCTTGTATGTGTGTTTTTTATCGCGTGATTTCATGAATTTCAGGACGTGCGTGGGTTTGAGCACGCAGGGTATGACAGAGCAGCAAGACATGTTAAGCAGCCAATCAGCCCATGACAATAAGAATATCTGGGGCTTCACGTCCCGAAAACCCGATATGACAACGAGAGATGCCGCAGTGGAGGGCTTTGAAAATTTCAACCATTTGGTGTTCTTTGACTTGCACAAGCATCGAACAGTCCCCACTAAGATTATATAACCGCAGCATTACCACCACAGACTATGAACGTTAATGTACGCCGAAAGCTTTACTGGTGGTACTGATTAGAAGACGCTTTTATTCGAAGCAGGGGGCACCGTAGAGGCAAGGAGAGGGGACCATTTGGTGTTCTTTGACTTGCACAAGCATCGAACAGTACACAGTTCCTACCAATTCGCCTTCATCGAAGTGTGACTGCCGCGTCCGGGATCTAACCCGTTACCTTCGAGCCAGCAGCCGAGCACCTTAATCACTACACAACCGCGCCAGACCAGCTCACGCCAGTCGAGATGGGAATGGTTCACAGGAACGTAGGCAGTGCGTTCTGTGGCTCGCTAGATTCTGACATCATTGGACTTTCCTTGTAGAAGTGCGTAAATGACATGTGCACAGTGAGCATGGTAGTGGAACTGATCCTTTAAAAATAACAAAAAGTATTCACTTCTGTCACACAAGACGTTCGTAAAAGGGTGCATGAACAACTTGGACTTCGTTTGGATCTGTGAAGGGAAAAAAGGGAAGACCACTCAAATCTGCACTGAATATGCGTGAACTTGAAGAGTTTTCTGTTAGTTTGGAGCAGATTTTCTGATTTCTCGGTTGAGTCCCTGTGACCGGTAAAAAGAGCATCATGACTGTACGAATACACACACCTACACTAGATACCACCGTCGACGTGAAAAACCTTTCTACTAGGCAATCAAGGTACACCACCAATGATTAAAAAACGTGTAAATAGAAGCGTTCGTAGTAGGGTTATATTTGCTTTGTTCATGAGAAAAAACAAAATTGGCAATTAGAAAAAGAATGTGCCAGGAATTTTCCCATGCATTAAAAAAATAACGATAAGCATGGGTCTGCAAAGCGGGCTTATGCGGAAAACCCGTTAAGTTTTGTCGATGATTGTGGATCACCGGACACAAAACGTCACGCTAAAGTTTTGAACAATGTTGGCTCTTGTTCTTGCGGGAAATATCGCCACTGATGAACGGGTTCATGGAGTCACGGTGTGCGGTTTGGAGGTGCTAGGGACTGAGGGGGACAACTCAAAGACTGGCGTGCTGAAAAAGACAAAAAACAAAAGTAAATAAAAACACTCATGTATGTACGATAAAATAAGTGTTTTGCAGCGTGAGTACACGCTCTCATAAGGGGTATTTCGAAGGTTCCGTGCATGTGAACCTGCAGATAATACAAATGGTGCTGGCCCAACAAAGGCTATGGGGTTATTACTAACCACACTTGGATAAAGAAGGTAATGTGGTGTTTATATGTGTCTGTTTACATCTATTATTTAAAAAAATACCTCAAAGTCTTGTAAGGGGGTTTTGAACAAGAGCCTTCGCAAGATGATTTGTATAAGCAAAACAAGATTGAATTAAATGAAAGTACCGATATATACAATATATAATATCTCACAAGGTGAAACGGTATATTGGTCATAATTGTATATCGGTATAATGGCCACAAACAAGAATATCAAAGAGAAATTCGCTGAAGTGGGCAGATACCAACTAGATAAAAACCGAATATATTTTGTGTGCGAGTCGGCAGTGCAAAATCAAATAGATAAGCATTCAACAATGAGTAAAAAGAATAGAAAGACAGTATGCAATTACGAGGTTACGCTCCGAAGTGTGAAACGTGGAGTCGGTGAAATTTTGTCAGACCATTTTTTTCAGAGACAACGAAAAAAAAGAAATCAGTCAAATGTCCGAGGAAGCGCTGACAAAGTGAATGAGCTTGTGCTTCTGTATATAGGCACGGGAAACTAAGCTGATTATGCAGTCTGCGAGATGGGCGGGGTGAACTTCAAGCAGCGAGGAAGATTTTCTGTCCGTATGAACGCGTTGGTGAGCGGATAGAAGAACTCAAACTTACAGGTCATAAGAAAAAGAAGTGAAATATGTTTTATTCGTGAGAAATACAGAATATAAGAGGGAATGGCAAGGAGCGACAAACGAGTGACCCTGTTTTGAACGGATTCTAATGAGCTCATTGTGTTCTTTTGGTAGGGTGACCACAGTGGACAGGCGAATTCGAGATGCGGGCTATAATAAACGTCTGAAATGTTGTCTTGCACTTGTTGCACGGTGAATTTCGCTGGGTTCGATTAAAGTACTGCAGTAACATTGATGCGTTAGTAGATATAGTAGCAACGTAAAGGTGCCAGAAAAAATTTGATAGGAGCTTTATTCCCAGTACTTGTGCCAAATAACTGGAAAATCCATGCTGTTGTTTATGTTTTTACAAGTAAGAAAATAGAATGCTTTGCATTTAGGTGCATAAGGGTTATTAGCCAAGTGTTACACCGAATTAAAATCAGATAGATATGAGTTTGAAGAAGGTTATGTTATCAGAAACACGTAAAACCTACCAGCGTGATATTAGATTATAGGATGGTTCATCATTACGGATTAAAAGCTGGTCCCAACCGCTACCGTTGTGATACGCCCTGGGCTTATATAAGGGTGATGAAATATTGCTAACTATTCACAAATTTTAGTGATTTAAATAAAGCTCGTTTGCCGACATGCTGCCTGTAAATTCAATTATAAAGCAGTCAACTTTGAAATAAGACGGAAGTGGGCTACATGGTCGAACACCTTAGAAAAGCCGAGAAAACACTGCCATTATGGTGCCTGTCAAAACGCTAGTGGGGAGGGGGGCGAAATTATAAAATTTCTAATGACCAATCGAATAGCCTTCTATTCGATTCAGTCGTCGAGTAAAAAAGTACATATTTGAAATACCGAATATTTTAAAAATTATTTTTGAAGTAAACAGCAACAACAAGAAGTGCTCTAATGAGTGACACGTGAAAACACCGTAGAATATCTTTTCTTGTTTTTTTATGACCGACATTCAGGCAGCTGATGTAGGGCACTATCAACGGCTTATTAATGACGAGATGAAGGCGTTTGGCTTATAAGTGCATTGTCGCTGAAGCGACAGTTTGAGCAATAAACTATTTGCTCTAAATATGTCATGATGTTAACTCTAAATATTGCTTCATGTTTAGGTAGCGATTTCACTCACAATCGGTTTGCAAAGTAATAAGTTCACTGTAATAATCCCTGCTATATTCACCTTGCAGTTACAAAATATTTCGAAATATCTGGTTGCCGCCGAGTTTTAAACAATTCTAGCATTTTTTTCGCCGTTGAAAGTAAGTGTAGTGCTCGTTTGTCAAAGCTCCCAAATATTTGTTCCAAACAAATGGGACGTTTGTCAAATTGTCAGCTTACATTTCTTGGTCAGATTTAAAAATCGTTGCCTTACTTTAGGAAAACTATTTCAATAGCATTTAATTCGTACTTATATTCTATTTGTTGTCCCCACTATTCATTTGGTATTCAATTTGGTTCGAAGGGTCGCTATTCGCGCACCCCTACAGAGCGCAAATCAGTCATGAATTCATAAAATTTGTGTCTTGGATGATAAACTTTTCCTGAAGCTGTGCCGAATAGCAAAAAAAAAAAAACACGATTTTCGGAAAGGTTTGATTAGGGGTGAAAACGGAAAAAAAGAAAGTCCCATATGACAAATGAAATGGTGTGCGCAAACATTTTGCTACAAATACATGTTAGATAAAGCGGGCTGTAGTAATATGGCGAATAACTGTTGCCTATTGTTACCTATTTTGAAAATAGAGACCAGTTTCGCAGTCTGAACATTGCATTGAGAAGAAGCCTTCCTGGAGATACAATATACTACTAGTCCCACCATTAACCTTCCTGAGTGGCACAAATCCTTCGGACCACCAATTATTATAGAGTAATTCGCAGCAAGCCCCTGCTTGCGTTCGATGAAAACTTGCAGTGGAATGCCACAATCGATGAAGTTCAGCGCAACGGTGAGCGAAGGTGCCTTTCTGCGCATCGTAGTTACCTTCGTTTATTTGAAGAGTTTCGCAAACACCCCTGGGGCACATCCAACAGTTGCGAGTAATGCAAAGGCAGTTTTATACATAGCTGCGTACCAGCGAAATCCGGTTATATTTCGGTGCCAGCATACTCACCGCAAAGTGACATTTCCCGAGAGCCCTGCACGGACGCGCATTGCGTGCCCTGAGGACATTAGGAGCACGGCCAGCCTTCCGTGTACACGGGCTGCCTCAGCATGTTTCCTCTGCAAAAACAGATGCACACAGACAAAATAAAAAAAAATAGTTATTACGAGTATCTCCCAGCGTGCGCTGGTCGGAAAAGTGTGCGAAAGGACTTTTCTAGTCGTAAAACACGCCCTTACAGCCGCGGCTTGGTTCGTGCCGTGAGTATTATTAAAAAACTAGAGAGAAAATGATGGCGAAGGTGGGTGCATCTTATATTTTAAGGCACCATTGGTCTTCGCCACCCGCCGGGCCAAAGCGAGTACACTTAAAAAGGAGTACTTGGGGAGTATTTCTGCCATGCAACAATAATCATCATCTACTTGGCGTACTTTCCTCGCGTTATCACGAAGGTTTCGGTAGTTCGCGCTCACGATCAGTGCGCTCGTTATCAGTGTGACATAGCATTCCTGACAGGAAAGTGGTCAGCGCGGGGTTTTCAAGAAAGGAAACGCGAGCAAGTCAGATGACGATTATTGTTGCGTGGCAGTGCAGAACGACAATGCTCTCTTGATATTTGCTAGAAAGCCAGACCTCCCACTGCCTCGGAAATGTGCTTCTCCCTCAAAAGGGAGAGACCACCTGGCGCGCTTGCTCACTGCCAATACGTTTGAATGCCAAGGTCTGATGTGCGCAGAGCAGCGGCCCACCTCGACGACAGGGTCTCCAGAGTAACCTCAGTCATTCTGGAAACTGTACTAGAACCCCACAACATATGTGTGTGAGTGTTGCCGATCATTGTCAGCACAATTTGCATGCGTCGTCCTGATGCCTGTCCGAATATATCAGCGAAACAATCCTTGTATAGTGAGCGTGAGAGGAGTGAACTGCACATTTTCGCTGTACAGCGGCCGAATATGCTGGTTACGAAGGGCTCAGCACAAATGCCCAAGTGTGCAGCACTTCGGTGCCCCTGGTTAATAGTCCTGATGATGATGATGATGATGATTCCACAACCGTGGCTCGTATCCGCTCAGGGGGATCGGCCAAGAATCGATGACTTAATTCTTAAGATTTTTTTTTTCAATATCGAAACCACTCACCAAAAAAAGAAATAAGAAAAGAAAGAAAGAAAGAATAAAGAAAGAAAAAAGAAATACTCCTGCGCACGTTTCTTCATCTTTCTCTTTTGCCAGATTACTCAAATATTGCACATTGTGAGCACTAGGGCTTACATGAAAGGTAAAATCATACAAGTAAATTGATTAGGTGAATGAATAAACCACTGAATGTTTTTACGGTAAAGACGTTACATCCACTGTGAAGACTTTAGCGGCCGAGACACGGAAAAAAAGAGGAAAACATAATTTCTTTACTGGGCGCACATATAGGGGCAGCAAGTGAAAATAATCATCCCAATTTATGATGGAAACGGTGAACACAGCTGCCGGTTATTAAAAGTGTGTTCAGCGGTTGGGCCGCGGCGAATTTAAGCGTCAGTGCTATATGCGTTCGCAGTTGTACACTCCGTCATTGGCACCGCACGAACAATTAGAGCAATCTAAAACATTAAAGAAGGTTTCGATACAATGAGGCGCTTGCGGCATCGAGGGGTGTAACGCGTTGAACACATCTTGCCGGTGTGATCCAAGCGCAATGAAGAGAAACCAACAAACAAGAAGCGCAAATACGCCCATCGTTGGTGACAATATGCTTACCCAGGTTCGTAGTTGCACACCATGTAACGTCCGTTTAGCTGTGGGCAGTCAGTGGCACCGCAGCCTACTTTTGCAGTGCGCGACCAAGCCATCTGCGATTGTGACCAAAAAAGTCGTGGAAGAAGTAATGAAAATCCACCGTGCGAAAAAGGCCTGGAATACACCGCATGTATTGTTATATGTGTTTTTTGTCAAGTTTTATCAGCCCAGCGCATGTGTCGCATACCTGCACTGCGTATTCGTGATTTCAATGTTTTTTTTCATACTGAATGACGAAAGCTATATATTGAAGCAGTAGGGATGATGAATTAACGCGGAGAACCTAGGTGTGAGTGACTTTCGTTGTTTTGCTCACTGTATGGTTTCTGCGATGCCTATATGGCTTCTGTAACGCTCACACAACCTCCTGAAACAGCCGCATCTCGCAGAGTGTGGCGCGCGTTGTGAAAGTGTGCGCAGCACACAAATGTTTTATTACACTCTTCCGGATATTTAGGGAAGACATATGCGGGCTCATGAAAATTCCACCAGCTGGTCGGAAAAGCACGTGACAGAACGAAGACCCAGTGATTGAAGAAATATTTTTTTCTCTTTGCCACGATTGAATTTTTTCTTTCTTGTTCCACACTTCTAATTTTCGTACATGTGAACCAACGAGCCAAATGTTTGTGTTTGCGCATGCACCACGGCTTCGCGGACTCCACATAGAAAGATTTCATTGTGAAAATTGGGACGCTACTATAGCGGAATTACGAACAGTATGGAATGAAATATTGCGCATTTTCACACAGTGAAGCACAGAGCTTCCATTCGTTAACAATTTGAGTGCAACCTCAATTCCGCACTGTTTGTCACGCAAGAGACGCGCACCCAAATACAGCCTGTTGAAGACTTTTTGCAAGCGTCATCACGTGGTGGTTGAGTGAGTGAAACAATTGCGCCGCTCGCTGCATCACGCAATGAGCTTAGACATACGCACCGACTCTCTCACGGAAAGGGGGTTCATTAAGCGAAAGAATATACCGTGTTCGTGAATAACGAAGCCACCTTCCGAAATGCATGGCGTCATTAGCGAAGTCCTGTAGAATAACAGTGGCGAAAAAGACCACTGACGAAAAAAGACCACGTGTTCCAACTCCGTTAGTAGGAGATTATTGAGCGCGTTAGAAGACACTATAGCTTGGGGAGCGATTGTTGTCATTAGCGAGCAGGCCATTTTTGGCTCGCCTGACTAAAAGCCTGACGCATACCGTTGTCATCACAATGAATGAATAAATGAACAAACTCCGTATTTCTGGAATTCAGGCGATTAAGTTACTTGTTCCTGGAACGAAACATTTGTTTTCCAACTTGACATCGTTTTCTGTACCAGCTTGTTAACGGCTGCGTGAAATGGTTTCATTAGCAAAAGCAGTATTCGAGGCTGCTTGAGTGAACTCGCTTGAGAAGTGGAACAAATCTGACAACGTTTCTGTACACACGTGAAGTAAATGCATGAACATCAAAGAGGTTTGTGAATTAATTGTACCGGGTGTTCAAGGTTACGCTTTATGCTTTTCTCAAACTTCAACACTAGGAGGAACATGTCAAACACTTTTGTACATAGCTTATGCATTCAGGGGGACACAAAGTATGAGAAAAATATATATGGCTGTCAGTGGTCCAATTACACAGATTTTATGTTTAGCTTCTCAGTGACTGCACTGGGAAAAACATGTAAAACACTTTTTTACAGAGATTATGTATCCAGGGGTACCCAAAGAAAAAGAAAGATCGTGGCTGTCAGTGAATTAATTAACTCAGATTTCATGCTTAGCTTCTCCGTGACCACAGAATGCTTGCTTATGTGTATTGGAAAGTTGGAGGCAGTCACGTTTCTACGAAGTTACACTTCCAAGGATACTTCTAGCATATGTGTGCTCCGAAATATCCCGCGGCAAAGTTTAATATTGTGCGTGATTGCGCACGCAAGGCGGTGAAGATCGGCGCAATGTTCTTTGCCGATGTGACGAACAATTATAGGTTGCTATTGCCAGCCAGTAGTGAAAGGGTAACCGTTGTCATCTTCAACTATGTCTTCGACCCATTGTCAGATTAAACGACGCACGCAACTGCCGCGCCTCTTCGGGGAGGAGCTTCGCGCCAGTGCTGCAGACACTGAAAACTTAATTACAAATGTAGGTTAATTAGGTGACTTACACCCATATTTATTGTCTCACTTTGGGTCCTCCCGGATACATAGGTTATCTACAAAAGGAGGAGGAGGATGAAGGAGGGAAAAAAGGGAGGTTATCTGCAAAGGGGGTTCTCATGTTCTTACCAGTGCTGAACGTCGAGAACATCATAAAACCTAATTTTGAAGACCTGGTAGAAGAATACACACGTGCAAACACGGACACAAGAGAACATGAAGATAGCGCAAATGCTCATTGGCCTGTTGTGTTATCTCTTTTCTCGTGTTTGGGCCTGGACGTCTACCTTTTTTTATCATGAATGCCTTCCAAAGAACTAGTAGAGTAGATACGATCTACCTAAAATTATTCTCGTTGCATGCTTACTATCAGTTCAGAAGGAATTGTAGAGAAAAATAGTGGGAAGTTTACAGAACCAAGCAATGCTCATGGCGACATTTTATATATATTATTCACTCTTGACGTAACTCAAGCATTAATTGCGACTGAACTTCATTTTGCGCGTTCAATCTGAGCCCCTTCTCACCTGCGTAAAGTGTCCGTTTCGGGGAGAGAAGTTGAAGCGGCCAACGATGTCCCGGCTAGTGCTCCGGTGTTCCTCCCACCAGGTCCTGATAGCCTGCTCCCAGTTGCCTCGGGGTGCCAGGAACAGATTTTGGCCGATGTATCCCCCTTAAATTGGGAGTATCGTCGTCAGGCAATGAAGAATCCAGAAAAGGAATAATAAAACCTGGCTTAATTTCAGGGGGGGGGGGGGGGTTAGAGAGGCTCTTCCGTCAAGGGTGCCACTGGCCTTAGCTGCCCGTTGAGCCTGGTCGATCAAGGATTGCTTGTTGGCCAGGATAGAGCGTCCCACTGCTCTAAGGTGTGTGTCTTTGTAATTTATGTATCTGTCACGGTTGGAAGGAACTATTGTCAGTCCCAAGTAATCTGGTATGGCGTAGGACTCCCTTCGCATGAAGTGCAAGTTTCAGCCCATCAAGCATACGCGATTACAAATAGACATCATGGGATGAAAAAAAAAAATAGGCTATGCAAGTTTTAGCTTCTGTCAACGATTTACAACAGAAACCGATGCGCTGAAGCATTGCATAAACAATGCTGAGGGCTTCGAGTACCTAACTACATGGTTAAAATGAAGATCCAAATAACAGCTGCTGTAACTTACGCATACGGGTATCTCAACCTTTCGTTTGATTAGTCCTAAACAAAAGGCAAGTACACAGACCTTTAGCTTCCTACAGCCATATTTGGCAGAAAAAATAATGGCAGTATACAATTCCCGGTAGTGACCGACAGCGTTCCGCTGTTACCAGAATCGCAGTGCACTCTATATACTTACTAACTTGACCACATCCAAAGCAGCCATGTTGGAAGCGGCAACTCTGTGAGTGGACTTGGGCACGCCTTGCAACTTCTCCATCATACTCCTGAGGAATAGGGAAAAGAAATAAAACGCAGCGGTATAGTAAGGGCTACGTCTAGCACCATCTCAGTGCAGGTAACACGGCAACGTAAACAACGAGTTTTAGGCCTACAGTCACAAAGAAAACAATTGAAAAACTCCGTATACCCGTAGCACACAATAGCATCTGCTCAGTGTCGAATGCCTACAGGCCATTTTCCTCTCTCTAAGTGATTATGTAAAAGAAAGGAAAAGAAAAGTGCCGCCCGTAACTGTCTATCACTGGGATGACACCTCAACAGTACGGCACAAGGGTAAGGGGAGTGCAAATAAAAGTGGATAAGAAAAGAAAAAGAGAAGAAGTAGCAGAGAAGAAGAAAAAAAAAGGCATTCAAGTCGTGTTCGCGTGCACGCGTCGAGAACCCCAAAGGCCATTTTTCTTACAAATGACCAACTAGACTTGAGATAAGGTGTCGCAAGCGTCGAGATTGCCACATGTTGTGAAAGAGGATCATTAAAAAAAAACTCCGGATAACGATGGAACACGCATTCTTTCTTATGCAAAAATTTCATATAAGGCGTGAAAGTGACACACATGAATCGGCTTATACTTTTATATAAAAATTATTTTATTATGATGAAATCTTGAAAAGGAATTGAAAAAAAAAAAGAACTTGGTTTCTTTTTAATATACTCTAGGACTGAAATGTGGCTATTTCTAAGAATACAAAGAAGGCGTGATAGCAAGATGGCGTCAAAGCACGCGAAGAACAAGAATCATGATCGAAAGCACAGTATTTAGTGCATCTTGTAAATTATGGATGGTTTATTTTCTTATCGCGCAAAACAGTCGCTTGTTGACAATGCAGATAAGATAGCTACCAGCTTACATTCGAGAAAATAAAAGACAAGAGAAAAGAAACCTTCCATATTTTTAGGCCACATTAGTATAAGAAACAAATGTACTTTTACGTGAAACGTAAAGCACGCTCACACATTTTATTTGCAGCTAGGCAGCGTCACCGGACTAAACCACAAACTTTTGCCGCAAGAACTATAATAACATGATTTTGAGGTCTTATGTGTCGAAACCACAATATGGCTCGGAGGTACGCCATAGTGAGGAATCGGAAAATAATTTCTACCACCTGCGGCTTTCTCTTAAGTGCAAATAAATCTTGCAACACGCCTCTCCAGCCCTTTGCCGTGATCAAAATGTGGCCGCCTCAGCCGAGATTCAATTCCGAAACGTACGGTTCAGTAGTCAAGCATCTCAACGACTTGACCACAGGGCTGAGTGTAAGCCTATTCACCGGTGTCTGCAAGGAGGGGGGGGGGGAGTTCACGAAGGTGGCCACTCCCTAAGCACGAAGAGGGGGGGGGGGGGTGCGCGGTCAGCCCTATACATGGACATGATTACGAGAAGAGGGGCGATGCAAAAAAGCTGCAACCCCCCCCCTCCGTCTGGGGATCCTGAGCACGTCAATACACTGCCTCATCTCTGCTTCTTATTGCCTTGAAATAGCTGGAAAAGCCTGCATTACCCAAGATTGGCAAGTACTAGCCCACCATAGACAATAGTGATGATAATGTTCGAAGAGTGAACACACTAAACTTTTCCAAAGCGACCGTTCTCATCTTAGGTCAACATCAGATGTGGTTCCAGCATTTTATAGCAGCCTAACAAACATTAAATTTGTGTTCGTATGACTCAGTAGGCTATATTCATGCGTTCAGTGGTTAGAGCATCGAACGCGTTGTAATCATCCGTTGTTTACACAGGAGGAATACACTAAAGAAAGTTACAGAGGATACTGATGCCATCGCCCCGTATGACACTGATTACCACAAGGTGTGAGATTGGCCTATATTCAGGGGCGAATCACATTAAAACCGCACAATTACCCGCTGTCTATAAACCACCACCTGTCGTCTACAGCAGATGCAGAAACAGCAACATCTGTGCACAACAAAGAGGTTATAAAAAGGCTGTGAACCAGAACAAACAAAAATAAATGGCTACGGCACCGAAAAAACATTTAACCACCCATCAATGAAAGAATATGACAGAACAAAAGGTTAACGAGAACAAAATAAGTGGCTGTTAACTTGAACAAAATTGATGGCCAAGATTTACGAGTCGTTGCACACTCCTTCGCTTCGTCATGAGCATTCATTTGAGTGAATATGCGTAGATGTTTCTTAATGTAAACATATCTTTTTGTAGCAACTTTTGGTGTGTCTGTGAATGTTGTGTTCTGTCGCGATGTTCTGCTGGATTGTAATTGGTGTTAACTGTCTGTGAGAATAAATTTCTCTAAACAAAGCTTGAGCATTAAAGCGTGCGGCGGAGATTGACTTAGCAGCTGTACTACAAAAGGGAGACATCCAATATGACACCCACCAGGAGAAGCATGTCTGCCGCCGGCGGGAAACCACCCAGCTTTCCTAAGGCCAGCGTCTGCCTCAGCTCGTTGTGGAAGCGCGTGATGAAGACGACTTCGTCGGGCGACACCGACTGCAAGAGAGTGCCGTTGAAGGTGCTCCAGAGTCCCGGCCGGATGAGGTTCAGCGTGGCTGGAAAGGGCCACGTTCGGTTCATCATGAACCAGTGGTTCGGGGTGTGTGGTCGTGTGTGCGGGTTCCACCACGGTGGGGGCGGGGGCGGGAACTGACTGTTCTGAGGCGGCGGTAACTGCTGCACCCATATCGTGCAGTTCACGAGGCTCAACGCCGTGCAGATGAATGTGGCGGATCCCAGGGACGTCGTCACGGATCTGGATCGGTGGTCAAGAAGGGTAAATACGTCGGCTTGTTCTGATTGGCGATTCTTAATGCTTCGTTGCCAAGCAAAACAAAATCTTTACACTAGAAAAAAAAGAAAGAGAAGCAACTATATTTGCTGCACAACTAGGTAATTCAAATGAGCTTGCCGGTGGTGAAAAGGGTGAGGATGATATGTGGTGCTTAACGGCCCAAAACCACCATATGATTATGAGAGACAACGCAGTTCAGGGCTGAGGAAATTTCGACCACCTGGGGTTCTTCAACGTGCACCCATATCCGAGCACACGGGCCACAGTATTTTCACCTCCATAAGAAATGCAGCTGCCGCAGCCGGGATTCGATCCCGTGACCGTGGATGAGCAGCCGAGCACCTTAACCGCTATAGACCACCACCGCGGGGCTGGTGCGAAGACTGTTTCGGTTCAGTTAATCGCTGCAGCCTGAATAAGGTAGTCAGTTGCCGAAAGGAAGGACTGACACGCCGCTAGTGAGGATGCTGGCAGTAGTGTCAATAGAAAGCGGTCCCCCTCGCTTTCAAGAAGAAGGCGATTTTGGCTAGCCTTCACGCAGCTCCGATTTCGGCAGTTCGGTTGAATGTTTTTTGAGTAACCTTTAGACAAAATCTCTGAAGAAAGGATAACTTTACCACTCTTGAATTGTACCGTACATGTCACCAGAAATAAACGCGCCATTACTTACATCGATGCCTTGCAACAAAACAGTGGCAGATGGGCTCTTTGTGTCGTCCCGCGTTTTTTTTTTTTTTGTGGTGTCCGTGTGTTTGGCGCACGACAATGAAGTTAGAGAACTGAATCGTGGGGCATGGTGGGACATCAAACAGAGAGGCAAGGCGCAAGACAAGAAACAGAAGGGGCTAATATTTGATCTTGCGAACTTGATTCGATGGGAATAAAAAAAATGCTTTCCTGATCATAATCATAAAGCCTTGTCTTGAATGCCAAGAGTCGTTCATATTGTATACACAAGAACAGGCTCCAAAAAGATTGTTCATGATCTCCGGTTTGGTTCAGCGCGGAAAAATAAATGCCCGCATAAAATTTTTCGAGGGCGTAGTCGCCAAAGCTTATGGGTCCATGTGCTCGAAGATGTACCGAATATTTTTTGCGAGTTTTCAGTACATGACACGCTATAATTACTATTTATGCGAAAGCTTTGGATGCCTCAATGAATGACTCAATTCAGCACTCGGTGGTGACCGTTTCATGCGTCCAGGACGAGTGGTGCGAAAAGTTATTGTGTCATGACGTCACTCATCATGACGTCACAGATCCCAAAAATGTGTGTCATGGTCAAGGCGTCACACACTGTAGAAAAAGAACGTGGTAAAGAGAGGAAAAAGAACATTTCGCTTACGAGTCGTCTTAGGTCAATGCGCATGGGACACCAAGTTTTCAGTGCGTGACACTACAATACAAAAGCTGCTGCAGTGACAACCAACTACATTAAACTTGGGTAAATGGAACAATCCTTCACAATGTACAAGTCGAACACGTCAACGTTTCACTGTGATTGTATCGGCAAATTGAGAGCGTCATCGTGCGGAAATAGCCGGAAATAGCCGAAATAGCGGAACATCGAGCAATGCGATGCGACCCAGAGAGTTTTCAGTCCCTCAAAAATCATCCGACGTTTCTCACGATAACTGACATTCCGACGTGCATTTCAGTGGGGCGCTTCGATTTTTGGATTTCTGGGTTGGTTCTGGAGACCCGCGGGCTACCCTAAAGCTACCGCTGCATACGGTTTTGATAAGAAATGACGCAGGCTGGCTACGCGCCCGCCCGGCGACAGCCCGAAGGTCGCAAAATCGAATGCAGGACAGCCAGCGTAAACGTGAACAAACTCTACCGTCATGGCAGCAAACAAAACAATGCGCCGCTTTTATGTTGCCTTTTTTCTGCATTGTCGGCTTGGAAATACGCAGCTAAGCTCGCCAAAAATTTGAAATAATATCCTCGAGCGTAAGCATTTGGGGTACAACTTCGTACGCTCGCACGATCACTTGCCGCGTCCGCGAACGAAACAGCCAGCTGGCGCACGCTGCTTCGAGAACGATGCAAGGTGAGCTGCGGCAACGGTGAGGGCTTGACAAGCTCACGCCTCTTTAGTACATGTATCGGACACTGCACAACACGACGCGAAGTCACAGGGAAGTGATCGTGCCCCCAAAAGAGCTTGAAGATATATACCAGCTCAACTATCGCGTATCATACGTCGCGAACACACGCTGACCAACTTACGTTTTTGTCTAAAGTTTATGATATGCGCAGATATCGGTACCATGAGTGCGCGTCGTATATGAAATAAACATTGCATGACACGTTCTCGATCCATTCTTAGAACTTGCCTTGGCCTGTTTTCCAGTCCTAAGTGACAGTTAACGAATGTCATGTATATATGAGCTTTGATTCGACCTACTAGGTGATAGTACGTACTGCGAAGCATTATTACGAAGAGGTGAAAAAAGACAAAGCCAACGATGAAATTGGCCACGAAAGGATGTATACATTTCTGAATCCATTCTCCGTTTTTTTTCTCGCGCCGTATCGTATAATATCATACCACATATGCTGGCTCATAGATGGAAATGGGTTCGCACGCCGTTCGCGACCAGCGAGCATCACCAACAGTCGCGATCTAGGACTTTCTATCACCATCGAAGATCAATCTAGTAGTCAGGAGAGAGGTTTTAAGAGGTTCACGTATACGCAAACATACGACGGAGCGAGCTAGTGCGATCACAATCGTCTTCGCTAAGTGCACAGAAAGCAGGCTCAGCTTCACAAATGACTACTACGAAAAAAAAAAATTACACCAAAGTTGTCTCCATGCGTGCGTACGAACGTGTACTACGTACATAACTTTTAAGGCATGTGCATGACGCAGGCAACAGTTCACCGCATTGTTCACAGGAGGAAGCTTCACGGGAAACATAACAAATGCGATGAACAGCAGGTTCAAACACTCGCCGCCACTCGTAATTGCCTAAACTTGCAAGGAGAAACAGGCTTTAGAAGACAATAGCACGCATAATGACAAGCGAAGGCACAGTCCTCAAGCGCCCACATTACAATCCATCGACTCTTCACAAAGATGGCACCGAGCACAATCGTACCTTTTCGGCGTCTGCTAGCCCGAAACCTGCCCAAGACCTCCCAGAAAGCTTCCACGACTAAATTGTCCTGGAAGCGTCTGGTGACCCTCGGGCTCCCCGCGGGTCGCCAGAACGTTTAACCCGAGAAGAACGCCAACCGGAAGTGCACCGTGGGGGGGGGGGGGGGGGACAGAGCAGCCCGAGAAAAACGAGCGTGCTCTGGCTGGCTCTGGCAGCCCGCAGTTAGCCAGAAGTGGAAAATTCAAGAGCCCCAGTGAGAGAGCTTTGTGACTAGGGGGGCACAGCGCAAAGCGAGTGGAAACTATCGCTTGCCATCGCGTGTGTTCTGCCATAATTCCATGTCGTGGCCGTTGTGTGGGGTCGTCGCAGTACGCCTCTATAAGTTCAAGAGGGTATCGTAAAACGGAAGAACCCGTGCGTTTCACGCAAATTTAGCGACAATCGACGCAGTCGAAAGAAGAAAAAAAAAAGTGCCCGGTGTGACCGCTGGGTACGGCCACCCACGAAGTATGTTATAATATTGATGAACAATTCCAACATTAGGGACAAACAAGGCCTCTGCCCGACGAGCACAGACATACATGTAATAAATAATAAATATTTAGTCCCTGTTTACTTATGTATTTGGATATCCCGGCTATAACCAGAGCCTGTACATATCCCACATGTCCAGCTACACATCTCCAAAAAAAAAATTGAGGAGAACAGCCATAAGCCATATTGTCCACGACACCAACTTGCACACAAATGGCAAGACAAGTTCTTCGATATTTTATATCAAGTTACAAGATATGTCAAACTGATCCCCGTTTCTTGTCTATATATGCAGGTGTTATTGCATGCGATTTCACGACATCGCATCTCAGCCCTCCCACTCTTAGCAAAGTTCTAGGTACGGTATTTGAAGATCGTCACATTATCGTGGTCGAGGCTGGAAAAATTCAATCTCGAAGTTTCGTGCATGGGTGGTTTCCCTCATGCCATGAGGGACACGTGTTTTGTGCACACGTGCTGTCCCTCATGCCCCGCGGCATGAGGGACATATGCTTTGTGCAAACGTGCACATGTGCTGTCCCTCATGCCCAACGGTATGGCGGAGTCTTGCGTCAATTAACGTTGGCAGCAACTTCAATGCAACCGGCCATTTTTCAATTTGTAGAACTTTGCCAGAACCTACGCAATTTCAGATTTGAATGTGAACCTATAGGGCAGTAGTTTGATCTGTCCCACCTCCTTCGTTCCTAGGTGGCGATGAAGTATCCCCATATTTGCACATTCCTAACGGGAATCGGCCAAAACAGAGGACATAACAAATGACTTGACGCAGGAGCTACATGTGTTGTGTGCACAACACCGGCGCATCCGTTGGGTCCCCTCATCGGTCGTCGTTTAATTTACCTCGTGCAATGGAGTCCATATTGAAACTACAGCAACACGCAAATGAAGGCTACGCTTAAAAATATAACAAGTGACATTATATAACAAAAACAGCTCGCTTTACTCCTGATACTCGACTAAAACGTTGAAAAACACTTACAGTTTGGCCATGTTTGCGTCTTCAGACCGCCTGCTGGGAGCTGTCCACGTACGCTGTTCAAAGTGCCGAAACGCTGCTATAGGAAGAGTTTATATATGCTTTTATTTTCTATACAAGTGATAAGAGGTCCGATGACCAACACGAATCCCTATTTTTCTCCAAATCTTTCTTGTCATCAGATTACACGGATGAATGAACTTTTCTATCATCAGATTATAAGGATGAATAGATATGTGCACTGCCTGAAACAAATCGTAGAGCGACCAGAACAAATTTAACACTGTTGTGACTGTTGCCTGCGCTATCAGCGCAGCGCCTGGAAATCGCTACATGCTGCCCCGTGAAACAAGGCTGCCTCCATTTTATATTCAAGGCCGTCAGCATGCTTATCTAATCGCAAGAGGAGGACTGGACGAATTGGAGGAATGAACATTATTCAGAGAAGCCATTATTCAGAGAAGCCAGTTGAGGTGGTCGGGCCGAGGTTTTCTATAAAGGAACGTCCAGGGCTGGCCACAACGCCGCCTCAAGCGACACTAAATTTAGCACTATAGACCAGATCCTATAGCTTGCAAAGGGAAGCAGTATTTTTTGCGGGGTACTACAAGATATGGCAGAAAGGGAAACGCTGATAACTCCTATCTCACCCTCGATGCCAGCATTCAGTTATTTTGCGTTTGTCATCAGCTGATATGCGTTAGTAATCCTTAAGCTGCAGCATGAGTCGTGCCGATGGAGACAGGACAGGACAGGACAAACAACTTTATTTGGTCCTGAGAGGCAAGGCAGCGGGCCAACTATGTAGGTCCCCACCCAGCCGTTGGCTAGTCCCATGTCGGAACAGAGAGGCCATGCCTCTCCGCTCGTTCACGGGCCCTCTGGACAGCCTGAAGCTGGACGTCTTGTCTGGGGTCTGTGATTGCTGTCGTCCAGTCTTCTTCTGTTTTAAAATCCTGTAACGCAGGGCACTGCCAGAGCATGTGACTCAAAGAGCAAAATTCACCACAATCTGGGCAAAGTGGATCAATATCCGGATGAAGCATGCTCAGAAAGCCCCTAGAGGGGTAAGACCCCGTCTGGAGCATGCGGAGCGTGCTTGCTTGTGATCTGTGGAGCTTATGATGGGGAAAGGGAAAAGTCTGTCGCTCTCCTCTGTAATGAGATGTTAGCTCGTGAAAAGTAACGAGAGGATCACTGTGGACGAGCTCTCCCGAACCCACCCGAGAGACCACCCCGTCGCGGCTTGTGAAACCTCGCGCACAGTCGTGGGCTATCTCGTTTGGGTTCAGGTGACCCGGCAGTACGTCTGGTCCCATGTTAGCGGGAAACCAGACTATGTGATGAATAACATCTGAGGGGGGTTTGCTGTGGAGAATTCTGGCTGCCTCTGTGGCTATCAATCCCGATGCGAACGCCCTAACGGCCGCTCTGGAATCGGTGTACACCGTGGTGCGTTTCGTGTCCAGTAATGCCAGCGCTACAGCAGCCTGTTCTGCTACATCGACCAAGGAGGTCTTCACTGAAGCTGCCGAGACAAGTTCTCCCCTGTCATTGACTACTGCCACGGAAAACCCGCTGCCGCCGGCGTGGCGCGCCGCGTCCACAAATGTCTCTGTTCCGGAAAGGTTCTTTATGAAAGCCCTAGCCCTCGCCAACCCACGACCTTTATTGTGTTGGGGATGGATGTTTCGTGGAAGAGGGTCAACAATAAAGGTGCCGATGGAGAGCAATAGCTGACGTCGAAACCGGTTGCGTCTGCTCTGAACGCGTGCGTGCTAGCATGCCTTATTCTTGTTATATCGTTCCTTTATCAATAAATTACCAAATAAAGAAATATACCATTACAGGTGGCTGATAGAGGGAGCACCGGTTTTGAAGTTTGCAAGTCGCTATCAGCAATACGAAAGTAAAAGAAATCGGACGTTGTATCAGTGTCAAGTGAAAACCGAACAGCGGCAAGCCTTCGCGATGGTATAGTGCCCGCTGCCCACTTATCACTGCGAAGAGGCAGGCATACATGCACAGCTGCTGAACAGGATGCGCGCGCCTGTCAATGGTGATAACTGGACGGCATGCACTACACTGTCGCAAAGGCTTTCTGCTGTTCGGGTTTCATTTGACGCTGGTAGTATGTCTTTATATATCAAGAGAAAGATTAAAAAAATAAGCGCTGTGGTCCTTAAAATGACTTATGTATGTCTTTTCTAGTAATAGGCGCACATGCAGAATATATACGTATTGTTATGTTGCCCCAGACATGCGAAATAATTGCCTTTTAATAGAAAATTTTACGAGTATGAACGCTGAATCTTGAGCAACATAGGTGGGCGCTGCGGATGGGGTCGGCCGTTTCGACTACCCGATGCTGTTAAGAGTAGACAAACAGACAAATGTACAGACAGACAGACAGACAGACAGACAGACGGACAGACAGACAGACCAAAATTTTGGCGTCGAAGGTCCCCAAGAAAGACTATTGTCTTTAAAATTGGCACATAACACGCACCTTGGGAATCCACTTTATGCGTAAAGCATGCGCATGGAAAGTCACCCTCAGGCACATTTTTTTATTCAGCGACAAGTTACGAAATGACGCTAAATACACATGTTTAACCGTTGCAGATGTTACTATAACCAGTTGTTTGCATTTTCGCAACGGTGTCAACATAAATACGAGTATTAGCAACACCAGAAGCGATAAGCTGATATGAATCGCTGGTGCTTGCGAGTATGGTAGCCCTAGACATGAATTAACTTCAGCACATGGCACCTAACCACAGTTGACGTTAACACAACATGACGGCTGTATCATAGGAGTATTTTCGTAATGTTTATAAAGTTGGATAGCCAGCATTGAAATCGCAATTGACGTTTCGTGAACATTAGGGTCTATCTTAACAGTAGTTCCAAAACCTGGCGTGGCTCTGTGGTAGAATGCTTGACTGCCACGCAGAAGGCTGGGATTTCATTCCTGCTAGGATTCTCACAATTATTCTGCGAGTTCGTATGGTCAATGCTGCCAATGTCACTTTTTTCTTAACGCTCACGTGTTAAAATTACCCATACGTGTTCTGGCCGTTCCTGAGTAGATACCAGGTGTCAATCACCACATACCCGCATACCAGAGGCACATGCCCGCCTGTCGGTATATGACACTGTCTGGCGCGAAGTGTTTGCCGACATAGGCGACGGGATTGTGAAATCACTCATTTCTACACCAGCTTGTCATATTCGTCAAACCATGTTACTCTCCCATACTAATTTCTGTGCACGCCAAGTTAAGATCACGAGAGCCAGTCGGATGTAAGCGGCTAGATAGATAGATACGCAGATAGACGCAAACAAATGCTTCGCATTTAATAAAGAAGTCATGGCATATCCACGAAGGAATGATGATGAGTGGGCGAAGCAGTGCGATCATTCGTCGTTTTTGCAAATCGCCCATGTAATTGACCAATCACGCACGAGAGTGAGTGCCAAGCGATTTACCGTTATATAAAACGCTTGTTAGCCATCACTGGCAAGTTGTGTTGAGCTTTGAATTCCTTTACTGCTTTGTGGTATCGGTTGCAGCCGGAAGTTTGTAAAGACGAGCTCTGGGAACGTTCCCTTGGTGGTTGTTCGTTGTTTCGAACAGCACGAAATGCATCGAACATCATCTCGAGACGTCATTGCACAAGCGAGTCGTTGTCCGTGATTGCTATTGCTTTTCTCGACATCGTGACCATCTTAATCGTCATCAGCGTCATTGTCAGCGGCGGCTACGGCCAACAGCGCCAACACCAACGGACAAGCCTTAACCTTCAGAAACTTCACCCCTAAAGCATCGTGGCATTACCACGTAGTCAATGATGATGAGTGGGTGAAGCAGTGCACAACTCATGCACAGCCCACGCAATCTACACACTGTACGTCATGACGATGACACTCATGGCGCTGAAGAACAAGCGCCTTGCCGACCACACATTCTCTTTCTTTCGTATGGGGGTGCTATTTTCGGTTCTGTCTAGTTCCACCATATTGTCCAATTTCGTAAGGCGGCATTTTAGGCCAATCAGAGAAGTCGTAGCAGTTCACTGGGCTAATCAGCATCGATTAATGGTGGAATGTGACAACATAGCGGAATCGGACAGTGTCCAGAATAACACCCCCGGCACAGCCCGTGCAAGCTACTCACTATGCGCGATGGCGATGACGATGAAGCTGATGACGGACAATGACTGGCTTGTGCAGTGTACGACATCTCGAGATGCTCTACGATGAATTTCGCATGACTGGAAACAAGCAACTACCACCAGGGGTAACGGGCTCAGACCTCGCGTATGCCAACTTCAGGCTACATCCGATACCACAAAGAGTAATAAAGAAGGCCAAACAAAATTCACAGCTCAACACAACATACTAGCTACGACCCGTAAACATTGTATACAACAGTATGTCATTCGGCATTCATTTACATGCGTAAGTGGTCGATGTCACGGGCAATTCACAGTAACACTGATTGATTCCTCGGCTTTACGCACTCATCATTATTCAGTTCGTGAATAAGGATGAGTGGGTGAAGGCCAAAATCGAATAAGCCAATATCGAAAGTGCATCAAGAAAGGGGCACTTACATTTACGCATGAAATCAACGCGCCTTTACTGTTTTATTTTTTTTACAGCCGCGTTTTTGTCGCCGTGACGGGATCAGTCACAGCAGTGAGTCTATAAAGGCTTTCCTCTACCAAGTCTCTTCTAGCTCTCTCACTATGAGCGTATGAGGAGCTCATTAAAATAACAATTGAGAAGAAACAATTACTATTTGATGCTTCGGCTGGGGCCCACGTGGAGTCGCCCTGCGAGAACCGTCCCGTATATGTATTCCTTCTATTCGCGAAACAAGCGCAAGAAATGATGGTGAGATTGGGCCTCCGATCCTACACGCGACGACGCATTCGTGGCGTGCGACTGTTCGGGGCACAGCTCGGACGCTCGACCCAAGTACCGTACCTCAGCGTACACGCTCTCA